AAGGCTCCAGACACGCAACAGTTTGTCCCGCGGGGATGCGGCCCCCGGGAATGTCCCGCATGGGAACTTACCGCTCGTGGCTTTGGGGACGCGCACCGCCAAGGAGCCGCTCACATCTTCCCAAGTCTCTTAATTCCCCCTCTCCGGCCGGAGCCGATGTCCAGCGCCCACCTCCTGGGCCATACTGGGGCGGTACTGGCGGCACTGGGCTCCCAGAACTTCTCGGCTGCTCTGCACTTTGATTTGAAGCGCGGGCGGCCGTGCCGGCGGTGCGCAAAGAACGCGACTGGCTGCGAGAGATTTTATTTTGTTTATTTCTGCTCTTCCTTCCCCTCCCTCTCCCACTTTAGCCCAGGAACTCCTGCAGCATTGGTTAATCCTCGAGGAGGGATAACTGCTGAGATCTTTAGCGAGCTCTCCGCTACCACGGATACTTCCTAGAGCTCCAGCCTCTCTGTGAGGGATGTGCAGCTACGAGATGTGAAGGTATTTAGAAAAAAAAAAAAAAAAAAAAAAAAAAAGTAGCGGTTTCCAAGTCAGGCGGATTCCTGCAGGGAAGTGCAGCCGGGGTTTAGGACTGGAGGTACATTTATGAAAAAATAAACCTATCGGTGCTGGCCTTGGTTGTAAATTCAGGGAACATCCACCCCCCGGGTCGGTTCTGACGGCAGCTACTCTCTGGTTCGGGTTTAATTCGTGCAGAGGGAAGGTTTTAGCAGCTGGGAGAGGAGGGAGGCTGCAGGCAGCGGGGCAGGAGCCTGGATGTCRTGGCTGGAGGATGTCAGAGCCCTGTCTGGGATGGGCGAGGGGACAGTGGCCATGGGCACAGGTGAKCTCCACAGAGCTGCTTCTGCTCAGGAAAACCCCACAGGGTAATTCCTGCTGTGCCTACCCATGGACAAACTCAGCTGCTCCATAAACCCCTGAGAAACAGCTGCCCAGATGTGCTGCAGGYGCTGAAAGTTTGGGGTGAGCCCTAGAAAAGAGAGAACAACTCTGGTCCTGCTGTCCAGAGCAGAGACATCCCCTCCACTGGTCAGTCATGGAGCTGTCTCAGCTCAGGGCTTTGGGAAGGGGCTGGGAGGGTGGACCTGAGCTCTGGGAACCCAGCAGGAATCATCCAAAGGGGTTTTGGAATCTCATTTGTGGGGTAAATGAGGGATGTGGACTTTAATTGTTTTACAGAATCCTGAGTGCATGGGTTGGGCCATTCAGTTTGTGGAGGAAATTTATAAAATGCCTGGGAAATTGTGGAAAACGCACAGATTTTTAAAAGTTGGTCCTGAATGGAAAGGATAAAATGTCTCTGGGGGCCCTGTGGAGTGAACAGGGGTGAAATCAGCAGGCACAGCCCCCGAGAGCTCCAGGCCCGAGCCCTGTGGGTTCAGCCCAGCCCAAAACCTCACCACAAACCGGGAACGTTCTGCTGGAGAGCAGCAGGGAACTCGCTTTCATTTACAGMAACTCCCTTTGCCATGGGCGCCGAGGCAGGGTCTTTTCGAGACAAATAGGTGTCCAAAAAATATTTATCAAGCAGATTCCTCCAGAGCCACGTGAAATCTCCAAGGCTGTAGGAGATTCTCTCCCCAAAACCTTTCCCCCCCGATTTTGTTACACTCCTCAGAAGAGCTGTAAGGTTTGGAAATTATTTGTGTCCCTCTCCTTCTTTCGCGAGGGGCATCTCACCAATCCACTTTTTAAACATTTAAAAACATCCTGTATTTTTCACACGCTGCCTACACTCCCCGGAAAAGAGAGGCCGGTTCTGCTCCAGCCTTTTAAACCGACAGCGCTGGGGTTAAACACTTTAGCGGCAAGTGTCAGGGATGTAAGAGGACATTGACTGGAGCGCTGCCCCTTCCTTAAGGATCTGTCTTTGCGCAGGGGCCGCAGTCCCCGGGCTCGGAGCCCTCCTGGCAGCGGGGCTGAGGGGTTGGAGGTCACTCSTCGAGTGCCCACGGGTTCAGGAGAGAATGTGGCAGCAGCTCCCCGCGGGGACCCGGCCAGCCCGAATAATCCCAGCGAGCTGTCAGGCGTGCKGRAMSSSGSRSYTYCCCYYCCYYCMTCCCTSCATCCCTCCATCCCTCCATCCCTCCTTCTCTCCCCGGGGTTCGGCACAAACCAGCGGCGACAGGAGATGTTTGCCTCCAGGCCTGTTTGCCGGTGCAAAAGTGCTGCGACCTGCTGATGGAGACAGGTGGAACGAGGGAGGGCAAGGCGAGCGCTCGGGAAAAATAAACARCAGCCGGAAGAATATCGAATTTAAATGTTGCTAGCGGAGAACTCCACCAGCAGACTCTGCTGGAAATTATCTGAGACACCACGGCACARAACCGCTTCCTTTTCGCCAGGCAAATGATCTAATCAAGATGWATGTGCATGACAATGCGCTCGCAGGGAGAGAAAGTCGGAGTTATCTGCTTCAATTACGGCACTTCCCGTGTCCCTGTCCTGGCAAAGGATGAGAATAATAAATATAAACCGTTTTCTCCTTAAACCCGTAACTGAGTGGAGTAACTCAGCTCCCATTGAGCCGCAYGTCAAGTATGAAAAAGAGAAGTTACCAGGTAAAATAGTGTGAATATTCCTGAGGAATCAAATAGGAAATGAAATATTAAATATTATATGAAACGCTGCTTTGCAGCCAGTGGTGTCTTAATATCCAACAGGACACTGGGATGTGCCCATGAGGGAGGATAAGTGAGTTCTTGGTACAAGAATGGAAATTGGAGAAGGGTTCTGGGAAGTTTGTATCAGTGAATCAATCATGGAATCACRGATTGGTTCAGGCTGGAAATGACCTTCAGCACCCACCAGCTCTGACCACAGGAACAGGGACACYTTGCACTGGATCATCAAAATGACAGCCCTGGCTGAGGAAATCCTGCTTTTCCCTGTTCCTGCTCCCTGCTCATCATCCCAGCAGTGGATCCCATCAGGGTGGGACATCCCGAGGCTGACAC